AGATATAAGATCATATCATCCACAAAGAGTGATAATTTGAACCTGGATGGAGCTAAAGACCATTATTCTAAGTGAAGTATCACAAGAACAGAAAAACAAGCACCACATCTACTCACCATTAAATTGAAGCTAATCGAGTAACACCTATGTGCACATATGGAAATAACATTCATAGGAAATCAAACAGGTGGGAAGGGGGAGGAAGGATAGGTAAAATCACACCTAATAGGTACAGTGCACAATATCTGGGGGATGGGCACAGTACAAAAGCAATTTATGTAACCAAATCACTTGTACTCCAGTAATATTCTGAAATTTAAAAAATAAAATGAAATGTTTCATCTTCCCCTAACTGAAACAAAAAAGAGAAATGATCAGAGCATGGATTTTTCAGGGCCTGGCCAGGGGGCTGCAGGGATGGGCCGGTGGAGAGGATGAGAAAGATAGGCTAAGCCCTCACTTCTGAAGCTCACTGGAAACCCAGATATTCAATAGCAGAACTGAGGTCCTCACTAGAGGCAGTGAACATCAGAGGGACAAAGTGGAAACTGAATCACTCTGTGCCTGGAGAGCTGAAGAGCTCCCAGACGAGGGAGGAAGCTGGGCCTGTCTCTCAGGGGCTCCCTCCCTCCCATCATTCACCTGTCCATGTGCAAAGGTCACTTCCTGGGAGATGCCTTCCCTGACTGTCTAAAATAGAGCCTCCCCTTTGCTTCCCATTTACTTGCTTTTTTGTATTTTTCTTCACATTTACTTGTAAATATATTTATTGTCTGTCTCCGTGACTGGAAGGTCCATGGGGGCAGGGTGTTTACCTGCCCTACTTCTGAATCTTTAGCACCTAAAGGACAGCTGGGCATGTCAGAAACATTTATTGAGTATTAATGTTTATTACACAGATGCAGGAATAAGAAGGAAAGAAAAATTCACTATGACTAAATATAGTTTACTCTTTCAGAATAAGGGTGGTTTATTGCTAGAAGAGCTACAATACAATGTATCATATGAATAGGTAAAATTTAAAGGTAAATTAAAAATAAATCAGTAAAATGTAGTACCTAGTCATATTTAAGAGCAAAAAAATTGTTATATTAGGAATACAATAAAATTGACTTGGCTGGGGCACAGTGGCTTACATCTGTAATCCTAGCACTTTGGGGGGCTGAGGAGGGGAGGATCTCCTGAGGCCAAGAGTTCAAGACCAGCCTGGGCAACATAGCAAGACCACATCTCTAAAAAGTAGCCAGACATGGTGACCTGCACCTGTGGTCCAGCTACTCAGAAGACTGAGTTTGGAGGATACTTGAGCCCAAGAGTTCGAGGCTGCAGTGAGCTATGATCATGCCCCTGCCCTCCAACCTGGGCAACACAGAGTGAGACTCTGTCTCTAAAAAACTAAACAAATAAATAGTAAATAAATAAATAAAATGAAATAGAATTGACTTAACATGACACAAAACTAAGTTAAATCAACTATTACCATGTTTCCCAAAAAATAAGACAGGGCCTTATATTTATTTTTCCTCAAGCAGACACCCTAGGGCTTATTTTCAGGGGATGTGTTATTTTTTTAAGTATGGTACAACAATCTACATTTATTCAAATATAGTTAAGTTGTCTTCTTCTGAAACATCATCATAACTCTCCAAACCCCAAATTCCATCCTGAATTTCTTGTGACTCTATTTCCTTTAGAACCATTGGCCCCAATCTCTCATGTTGAGCAATAGAGCTCTCATAGGGCAGATGAGAAGAGTTGCTAGTCTTCTTTACCGCTCCATGAGGAAATGCATGGGTTGTGCAGATACACTGCATAGCCACGCCCACCACTAGGTCTTATTTTCGTGGTAGGACTTCTATTGCGCAAATGCTTAGAAATCCTGCTAGGGCTTATTTTATGTGTAGGTCTTATTTTCAGGGAAACACAGCACCATTATATTTAATGGTGAGACACTAACAACATTCATCTTAAAATAACAAATTAGATAAGAGCACATAATATCCAAAATGATTTTTAAAATTCACTAAAAGTTTTAGTCCATTGAATAGGTTCCAGATGAATGAAATATTAAATGTATACAAAGGACACTATTAAAAGTTTTTAAAAAGTGAAAAATTAACTGCTCTTGCTCAAAATATCCAAGCATAAAAGCAATGAAAAAATTACAAAGGAAAAGAAAGATATATTTGTCTCTACAAAAATTAAAACTTATTTTAAACTTTTAAAAGTAACATGAGGTAAAATTGCTTAAAAAAAAACACCACAAAGTGTATGTATGTGTGTGTGTATTGTATGTGTTTGTGTATAGATTAATTATACTTTGATAAAAGTTTTAAAAATGGATTGCCTCAATGTATTAAAAGTGTTTACAAATCTTTAATAAAATTCTTAAGCCAAATTCTTAAAATTTTAAGTTACAAAAAGTCAAATTAGAAAAGAAATGCAAATGTCCAAGTAAACCAAAAATATTCAATGATTTAATTTCTCCAATTTTTAAAATTCCAAAATAAAACAATAAAATGACATTTTATTTCAAAATATTTTTTATAGCTGCGGTCCCCAACTCCAGAGTGGTGGACCAGTAGAGTCTGTAGTGGCCTGTTAGGAACCTGGCTGCACAACAGGAGGTGAGCAGCAGGTGAGCAAGCAAAGCCACTCTCATCCCTCACATCATCACCTGAGCTCTGCCCTCCCACCCCTGTCCATGGAAAAGTCATCTTCCATGAAACTGGTCGCTGGTGCCAAAAAGGTTAGGAACTGCTGCATAATTATCATGATCTAGGTAGGCTTTGAGGTGGAGTAAAGCAAGAGAATAATTGTTGAAAGTCAAATGTCAAAATTCACTCTTCTTCTAATCTATTCTCTACATTACAGCCAGAGTAATCTTGTCAAAGGGCAAACATGACCATGCTACTTTTTTATCTAAAACCCTTCAATGGTTTCTCATTGCTTCTAGAAAAAGGATCTATTAATAAATCATAGCACAGCCTGCATGATCCTCTATGGCCTCCCCTTGAACCTTAAGTCCCAATATCTATTCTACATCAATAGCCTTCCTCTCTGCACTCAATAAGCCTCATTCTCTCCTATCCCAACTTTCAGAAGTGTGGTCCTTGTGCCTAGAACACCTCTCCCCTTTTGCCAACTCACTTTTACTCTACCGAGGTCTCAGCTCAATGTTCAATTCCCAAGGAAACTTTCCCTAGTCTCCTTGAATAAGAGAGATGTTCTCCCCATAAAGTTCCTTTGAACACCATGGACTGCTCTGTCCTAGCATGTATCACAGTTTTAAATTTATATTTACTTGGGTGTTTTTAAAATCCATATCTTCCTCCTTCTCTAATGTGTGGGCTCTCAGGGAGCAATGACCAATATCTTTATGTTTGCTATTGTTTTAGACCATAGGAGATAATAAATATTTCCTGAAAGAAGCAAATTGCTCCAGTTTTCTTAGCTTCCTCTAAAATAACAAGACCTAAAGCCACACCCACGCATGGTTTGGAGGCAAAGGGGTGCAGGGCATTCATATCTCTTGGTAAAACCCTATTATAACACTGACCATCAGTGAAATTACCATCCTTCAGCATGGTGCTATTAGCCATGTCATCTCCAATTTTAGTCTCACGTATTTACATTCCCAGACTCCAAAATAAGATGTAATGTTTATCTCTACTAAACTTCCTCTTGTCAAACTAAGCACATAATTTCAACCTTTTAAAGATCCTTCTGAATCCTGATTTTGTCAAATTATGTGTTTCCTATCACTCCCAGTTTTACTTCACCCACAATTAGTTTTCTTCTTAAGTTATTGATGAATGCCATATAATTACAATGATGGCTATGAGTATATCTATCATTTCATGAGCCCCTGCCTGAAAGCACCAGATCCCATGACAGTACGTTTACATGCTCACTCCTGTCACCTTCCTAACAACATTATGAGGTGGGTATTTTCATCTCAGTCTTTAGAGACGGTGAATCTTTGGTTCTGGTTATCAATTAACTTGCCCAAGATCTCATAGCTTGTAAGTGCAAGGGCAAGGATTTGAATTCAGACATCTATGCCCTCTAAGCCTCATTACATAACTCTAGTGGTTTTTAAACTTTTCTTAGCCATAAAATCTCTTGCTTTAGCTAAATCTTACACAGAAGCCTGTCAAACAGCTAAAATCAGAATGGATCTCTGCCTAACGCAGTTTTAAAATAACTACAACATATTGAGCTGATTTTCACCAGAGAAGGCTTAACCCAGAGGCCTGGACAAACCCCTAAAAACATCTGTTAGAGTCACAATAATCAGTCACTTGCTCTAGAACATTCTAGAATGTTCTGTAACAGTTTAGAACTAGAAAAGTATGTACTTATGAAGATGTCCCAATATCAACTTGATAATCACTAGGTACATATACTATTGAATACTAGAAATATGGCTAGCATAACTGAGAAACTAAAATTTTAATTTTATTTAATTTAAATTAATTTACATTTAAATTAAAATAGCCACACATGGCTAGTGACTATCATATTAGACAATACATTTCTACAAATTATGAGTTGGTTTTATTACCCAGCCTCTATACCGTATTTCCTTATTACTTACAAAACACAATAAATTAGGAATAAAAATGTGATCTTGGGCATCAAGAAGTCTGGCATTGAGTATTCCCCTACATTTTCCAGTTTTTCCCTTCCAGTGAAGTTGTGACTAGTTCTGGCCAAAGAACCCTGAATGGAAGTGACTACATGGCTCTTTTAGGCTGAGACAGTTAAGACTTAGTTGTGCGTTTATATCCCTCTCTCCCCTTGGATACCACATGTTCTGGACAACATAACTAGACAGATGTGAGAAGGCACTTTACACAGGAGAGAAATAAGCCTTTTTTTTTTTTTTTCACTTAATCCACTGAGATTTCAGAATTAATTGTCACAGTAGCATCCTGTTGCCTAGGCTGAATAATAAACAGTAACAGAGATCACTTAGAATTCTTGGCAAAATAAGAGCAAAAATAAAGCAGCAGAATGAGGACTCAGGGGTAAGAAACCAAAGGCAATAGATTGAGGTGAGTCATAAATAAATTCCACCAACAGTAGCTCTTATTTTTGTGCCTTACTCCAGTGGATAGAGGAGGCATTTTTTAAATAATCATCCTCTAGGTTCATAATGGCAGATAGTTAGGAATGATAATCTCCATTCTGTTATCCTACACTTTACTTCTAAAGAAAAGTTGTACACATTAAGCACCATTTTGCTTCTTTCCTTGGGAAACAGGCTTAATCTAATTATGCTATGTAAGTGGAGATTATAAAACCCACATTACCAATGATTCCTCTGGCAGTCCTGTGTCCTTGGAGCTATCACTTGGAAATTGTTTAATGGGATAGATGTGGACCTTTGGTATTGGAGGTAATGTAGGAAATAGACATTTATGGCTACAGTTGTCAGACAGGACTCGTTTTTTGCTAGAGGCAATTTCTGGCTGTCTTGACTGTGCTAAGCCCCACTAGTACTTCCTCTCTAGCCTAAAAGGTCAGTGGCCAGTTAGAGAAACTAGTTAAGACCCACTGCATCTTTTGCTAAAAAGGTGCATTCATACAATAAATATTGTAGAATTCGCCTCAGTCGGGATTTGTCTAATGCTTTTCTCATGATTAGACTAGGGTTATGGACTTTGGAGAGGAAGACCACAGAGGTAAAGTGCTATTCTCATCACAGTACATAAAGGCTACATACTCTCCAATGTCACTGTCCTCCCTCCTTTCTGTCCTGTATTTTCTGTAAAGAAATCACTATGTGTAGCCCACACTTAAGGAATATGGAAATTATTATCCACCTTTTCAAGTGAACTAGCTATGTAAATTATTTAGAATTCTCTTGCATGGGAGATTTATCTCTTTTTCTCCATGTATTAATTTATTTAAGCATTTATTTATATCAATATGAACTCACTGATAGTTCTTATGCTTTGGGTTATAATTCAATATACTCTTGTTTTTGTACCAATTCTTCCATCTTTGGCCATTGGGAACTTTCAGTGGGCTCCTATGCCCCTTAACATATCCCTATCTTTTTGTTTTTTAATTTTTATTTCCAGTACTTCCTTATGTTCTGGTACAACAAGATGCTGTGAAGCTCATCTTCTATATCACTGCCTTGGTGCTAGAATCAGCCATTTCTCCAAGGAGCCCTAGTTGCTTTATTTGAGGATGGTATTAGAAGCCAAGATCTGGGTGCTAGATGTGCTCATTATTACTGGGGTGTAGGGGCAGGGGCAATGGCGTATAAAAACTAGAATTAAGTGGTTGTTGCTAAAAACAACAATGATTGATGCTTTGAGGAGAGAAAATGACAGAGAGAAAATGAATGCAACAGCAGGCATGTGTGGGATTCCCATCTCATCCCATGATACCCTGGGAAGCCACGCCACTTAAGTGGATTTCCCCACATGACCCTCTGGCCTATGTATGTAGGACATCAAAATTTCTAGCTACTAAACCAAACATATTAAAACAGAAAATCAGTCAAGTCAGTTATTCAGCTTTATGAGCCTGAATAAAGAGGAAATTGAGGAATCTTTGATTTTACAGCATGTGGGTTTTGTCAAAGAGAGAGTTTCTCTGTCATGGGCCTCACAGCTTTTCCCAATTCAATTAATTGAAAGCTCACAGAAAAGTGAATGCTGTAAAATAAAAGACAAACATCTGGGACCCCATGCACAATCCAATGGAAAGCACTAACATGATGCAGTCACAGCTTGCGGATGGAAATTTTAAGAGCCTTTATTTCTAAGAACTACTGCTCGGAGAGAGTGTGGCTTCTTTTTATAGTTAGTGCACGAGGCAGGTTTAGGTGGCAGTTTTTCTTAGAATGCAATTTAGTGAGGCATCTCCAATGCATTCCTTTGATGTAAATATATTTATTGAGTGTCTCTTTTGGGCCAGCCACTGTGTTAGAGTTCAGCAGTGACCAGAGTAAACACAGGCAATGTCTGTCCTCACAGAGGTGAGGGCATAACTCCATCTCACAACCTCCTGGCCCTGCAAGAGAGCGTCACGGAGAGAAGGTGCCCTAATGGGACATGTGATCTAAAGTTAAAGGACACAGCCAGCCTGAGACACTCTCACCCTCTTTCCTCCCTCTAGGGCTCTCCATTAGCCACCCCAGCAGAAGCAGGGGGCCAAGGAGCCCCGCTGATGCAGTCCATAGCCACTGAGGCACTGAACAGTGAGAAGGGAGCAGAGAGGACCTGGACCGGCCGTGGGAGATAATCAGCGTACAGTCATGACCCAGTGGTGATGGATAACTACTGTCTCGGCAAACTGCTCCCCTCTGGCCAGACAGGCTCCAGGATACTCTCACAGTGTCACTTGTATATAATTTTTCCCTCGCTTAATTCTAAACCAAATAATCTGCTCTAAACTATATGACTAATTTTTGTCTTCCTATATAGCTTCTTGGAGGATCATGTTCACTCCCCTTCTCCTTCTATATGACCTATTTCTTTAGAGAAAATTACTCCCTTTGAGAACTCCTGAATTCCTAAAAGATCCTATTTAGCCTTTTGGTAGGAAAATAATGTCAGAGATAAAACCTGCAAAATCCCAATTTGACTGCCAATTTGTGTGCAGAGCCACTTTCAAATTAAGAGCTCATGAGATTGTTGAGGAAAAGACAATCTGAAAATGGTAAATATATGACTAAGGGATAATGGTGTATGATCAGAGTTGTTACTATTAAATATTCACTTGGTGCCACCAAGGACAAGAGCTTTACAGTGTAGGATCAGCTTGAGAGCAATGCGTCCTAACATTGAGGAGGACGTTATACGATGCTAATGATATTAACAACAATAATATCATTGGTACATATGTTTCAAGTGCCTATACTAAGTGCCTTATTATACCATACTCAGCCCTTCGTACATATTATTTCATTTAATATTCTACTGATATCATTAAAATCAATATATACACACCTCATTCAACACTCAAATTGATATTATTTTACAGGATTTATATTTTATACATTTTATTGCACTCAATACTTAATTGATATTATTATTTAAGCATTTTATACATATAATTATATGCACTGCTATATCTTTTATCTCACTTAATACTAAAATTATTATTATTCCAAGTTTTTATATGTATTATTTTATACATTTTTATAAGTTTTATCCCATGTACTACTCAAATTGCTATTATCATTCCAGCTTTATAGCACAAGGAATGTTAGTTATCACGCAGAATCACAAAGCTGGAGAGCAGTGGAGCTGAGCTGAAACACAGCCCATCTCTCTCTCTCTCTCCAACATAAATAAAGTGCCTCCCTCCAAGTGAAATAGCTGATGTGCAGAAATCCTCACCACATGCCAAGGCCAAGTACTGGGCTAACTATCCTTGTGTGCACTTTTTGCATTTGATCTTTGCAGTAATCCTATGAGGTGAGTTCTATTTTCAATCTCTATTTTGCAGATCTCAAAAATGGCACCCAGACAAGCTATAGTAATTAAGGGAGACTTCTACTCTCCAGACATCTGCTGGGAATCTAATCCAGCTAAAAATAGAGGGTCTGGAGAGCGGCTGTGTTGAGGACTGTTTCATCCTTTCAGTGCCAACGAAGCAATGAGGTGACCTGTGACTGAGCACTTAGCCTAGGTTTAGAAAGAAAGATGAGTTAGTGGTAACTGGGTGGCAGTAGGACATGAAAAAGTAACTCTATTTTCCTGAGGTTCTTAATAATAAGGAAAAAGAAAAACCAGGGCTGACAGGTACAAATGCTATATTCTTAAGAAATTAGATTTCTTAAAAATGCGGTGTGTCAGAGTCCTGTGGTTGTGACAGAAAGTGACTCTGGCTTCTTGAGTAAACAACAACTACAAAGAAGATAAAAGTATAGCTATCTCCATACAGAGAAAACATGGGCATGAAGTTTGGTAGGCTAAATAGTTACATGACTTACAGGGGCTAGAAGATCCTACAGAAAGACTGTAAAGATGTATCATAAACTGCCCCCAGTGAGAAAGAAAAGGGGTAAAGCCAGCAAAACAGCACCATGGCCTTCTGAAGACATTGAGTCTTGAAATGTCCAGTAACAAAGGTAGAGCAAGTGATCAGAGATAAAGATGGGACATCCACGTAGACCAGTAGGAATGGTTTGGGGAAGGGTAAAGCCCAGAATTAATGTAGGGAACAACCAAAGAAAGAAGACCAGAGATTCACAGGGCATTTTGGGGGGAGGACTAAGTAGGGAATTAACATTTATGGACCTTAATCATTGTGACTTTGGGCTCTGAAATCTGATGGAGCTGAGTTGGAGACCTGGCTACTCCATAAATGACCTAGTGACCCTGGAATGCTCTTCACTCGGATGTCTATGGGGCTAACTACCTTGTCCCCTTCAAGTTTCTATTCATGCCATCACATTCTCAGTGAGGCCTGCCCTGACCACTTCTGCCCTCCTTTGTCCCCACTCCAGCACTTGAAAGCTCCTTTTTCCTCTTCTGTGCTTTCTTTTTCCCCATGGCACTTACTATCTTCTAATATACTAAATAAGTTTGTTATTGTTGTGTGTATTATTTATTGCCTGCCCTGGTCCTCCAATATATTTGTAGGTGTTATTCAAACATGTATCCCAAGTGCTAGAATAGTACCTAGTACATAGTAATGCTTAATAAATACTTGCTCAGTGTCTGCCCAATTTTGAATTGGGTTGTTTTTCTGGTTCTCAAGTTGAGTTCCTTATATATTTTGCATATTAACCCCTTATTAGATGTATGTTTTACAAATATTTTCTCCCATTCCACAGGTTGGTGACTATTTCTTGGCTGTGTAGAAGCTTTTTAGCTTGATATAATCCTATTTGTCTATTTTTGCTTCTTTGGCCTGTGTTTGGGGGGCTATATCGAAAATATTATTGCCCAAACCAATGTCATGGAGCTTTTTCTCTATGTTTTCTTCTAGATATTTTACAGTTTCAGGGCTTACATTTAAGGCTTTAATCAATTTTTAGTTGATTTTTATATATGATGTAGCATAAGGGTCTAACTTCATTCTTTTG